TCTTGGTCCAAGTATAGGTTTCATATTAGCACAATTAAATGTTCTGGGATTCCCATTCTTCTCAGAGTCAGCCACATTTTGTTATGATCCACTACAGTGTGGGTTTTTTCATTTTTTTTTTTTTACTTTACACTGGTTTGCTTACAAAGTTCTTATACATTGTTTTTCATACCAGATCTTTCCCATTTCCTTTGCCCACCCCTCTCGCTAACCATCAAAGTGCACGGTCCTATGATTACTCCATTGCCCATCCTCACCCCTCTGCTCCTACCCCTCCTTGGATCTTCATACACATTTTACTAGTTACCTGTATTTACAATATTATTTTTATACTTAGTCTTTATGGGACTGAGTTAGTTCACTTAGTATAATCTCCAGTCCATCCCATGTAGTGATTTTCAAAATCTTTGTTTCTACATGCTGCATAGTAGTCCATTATGTGAATATATCACAATTTTTCAATCCATTTGATTATGGTTGGACATTTGGGCTGTTTCCATGTTTTTGCGATGGTGGGTAATACTGCTTCGAACACAAATCTCCGTTTGTGTCTCAATTCTCATTTTCTCAGGGTATATTCCAAGGAGTGGAATAGCTGGGTCATGTGGAATTTCTATGTTCAGCTTTTTGAGGAAACAATAAACTTTCTTCCAGAGTTGTTATAGCAATTAATCCCACCAACAGTGCATGAGTTCCTATCTCTCCACATCTTCATCAACATTTATAATTTTCTCTTCTGTTAAACTTTGCCACTGCTACTGGGCTGAGATAGTATCTCATTGTGGTATTTATTTGTATTCCTCTTATTGCCAGTGATTTGGAGCATTTCCTCATGTGTCTGTTGGCCATCTGACTATCTTCCTCTGTAAATAGTCTTTCCATATCTTTTGCCTATTTTATAATTATGTTATCAGTCTATCACAGAGACCTTGTAGGATTCTGCAAACTTTTATTATGAGATCCTTTCCTGAAACAGTATTGGCAAATGTTGGGTTCCCCCTTCCCCGAGTCAGCAGGTTTTCTTTTCATGCTGTTGAAAAATGTTTTTTATACATAAAGGGATTTAATCTTTAAAGGTCTCATTCATCAATTTTAGTCTTTCCTGGTTTTATAGTTCTGTCTGTATTTGTCAGTCTTTTTGAGGCCTTCTGAGCTTGGTCCTACTATGTCTCTTATGATTTGAGGCTTTACCCCTAGGTCTCTAATCCACCTTGGGTTGATTTTTGGATTCAGTGAGAGGTGTGCATCCTGCTTTAGCATTCTACAGGTAATAGTCAAGGTTTTGTTGTTTGTTTTTCTTGGTTTTTCCCTCTTTTTTTATTTTTGAAATTTTAATGAAAGTTTACAGAATCTTCGGCTTTCCATTGATACATTGTTGCACAATTTCTTTCCTTCCCATCCCACTGCTTTTTGCTTTGAAAAGAAATAAAAATTCTTTCATTGTTATACAATCCCCCCACTCTCTCCACCCTGGCCCCTGAGTCCACTTTACTATGCAGCTCTTATTCTGTACTCTTGTAATGAAAAGAAGACCTAATCATACATTATTTTTAGGCAGTTCTCTTCATCATTTGTGGCAATGCAGTATTCATTATTTATGCCCTCTTTTCTTAGGCTCCCTCCTACCCTGATGTCAGTCCACAGTGGCACTATGCAGTGTTTGTCCTTTTGTGCTTGGATATTTCACTCAACACAATGTTCTCCAGAATCACCCATTTTGTATAATATTTCATGAATTCTTTGTTTTACAATGCAGCATAGTATTCCATGTGTGAATACACCAAAGCTTCTCTATCCATTTGTTTGTTGATGGGCCCTTGGGTTTTATCCAACTCTTTGTGAACGAAGTAAAAATAAACATGGGCATGCATATACCTGCTTGGGTGGCAGTTCTGGTTTCTTTAGGGTATATTCCCAGTAGTGGAATTGCTGGGTCAAATGGTATTTCTATTTGCAGCTTTTTGAGATAGTGCCATACAGCCTTCCACAGTGGTTGCACCATTTTACACTCCCACCACCAGTGAATAGGGGTTCCAGTTTTTCCACAACCTCACCACCATTTGTGTTTGTTGCTCTGTTTAATTTTGCTATTCTTACTGGGGTGAGATGATATCTCATAGTTGTTTTGATTTGCATCTTTCTTAGAGCTAGAGATTTTGAGTACTTCTTCATGTGTCTGTTCGCCATATGAATGTCTTCTTTGGTGAAGTGTCTGTTCATATCCTGTGCCCATTTTGAAACTGGTTGTTTACCTTTATCTTGTTGTGGTGCTTGAGAATTTTATAAATTCTAGATATAAGTCCCTTATCTGACATGTCATTACCAAATATTTTTCCCCAGTCTGTGACTTCCCTTTTTACCCCGTTGGAGAAGTTTTTGGATGTGTATAGGTATTTGATTCTTAGAAGGTCCTATTCATCTATTTTATCCTCTCCTGGTTTTTCAAGATGCTTGGAAGACTGTTCATGTGTGGATTAGGGCTTCTAGAGTTCTTCCAAGCTTTTCTCTAATGAAGTTCATAGTCCTTGGTTTTAGTCCTATGTCCTTGATCCACTTTGAGTTGGTTTTGTGTATGGTGTGAGGTGTGAATCTTGCTTGAATTTTCTACAGCTAGTTTTCCAATTTTGCCAATACCATTTATTAAAAAGGCTGCATTTCCTCACTTAACTGATTTCATCTCCTTGTCAAAAATCAGTTGACCACAGGTAGATGGGCTGATTTCTGGGTTCTCAATTCTATTCCATTGATCTATATGTCATTATACCAGTACTACACTATCTTGACCACCACAGTAGTGTAGTAGGATTTGAAATCAGTGAGTGAGATGCCTCCTACCCCAATTCTCTTTTTAAGGAGTGCTTTGCTTGTTTAGGGCCTCTTTCCATTCTAAATGAAACTGGAGATTGACTTTTCCATCTTGTGGAAGAATGGAATTGGTATTTGTATTGGGATTGCATTGAACATATAAATTGTCTTTGACAGTACTGTCATTTTCACAATATTGAGTCCTCCTATCCATAAGATCGAGTTGCTTTATTATGTGGTTTAATTCTCCAACATCTTTGTTGACTTTCTTTCTGATAGTTCTATCTTTACTTGAGAGCGGTGCACTGACGTGTCCAACTACTACAGTGGTGGTTCTGCTTCCTTTTTCAGTTTTCTTAATGTTCATTTTATATATTTTGCAGCTCTATCATTTGGTGCCAGTAGAGAGAGCTCAGTTTGCCTAGTGGACAGAAGGTGATGCTTCCAAGCTAAAGGTGGGTGATTTTAGTCTGTAGCCATCAGACCTGGTTTTAATTGTTTCTGGTCAAACATTCTTCCAAGTGGTATAGCACTGATCTGTCCATTTGCTGTACAGAGGTAACTTGTGGTTGCTGTAATGCTGAAAACTGTGACACTGTCAAATGTGATAATGGTTAACCATGGCTGACAGTGTTTGGTGGAGCTCCCCAATTAAAACAAGCTTGGAAGCAGGAGTGGCATCCACTTCCAAAATGGCTTGCCATTAGCCTATGTACTTGGAGAATAAAAGTTACTCAAGTGTTCAGTTCCTTCATTCATAGGATTGCTATGAGTTATCAATGACTTGACAGCACTTAATAATAACACAATACCATATGGTGCATAGATATTTATTATTGTTATGTCCTCTTGTTCTAATGACCCTTTAAGTATTATGTAGTGACCCTCATTGTCCTTTGTGATGGTTTTTGCATTAATGTTTATTTTATCAAAGATTAATATTGCTACTTCTGCTTTTTTCTCATCGCCTTTTGCTTGGTATTTCCCCCCCCCCTTTTATTTTTAGTCTTTCTTTATCTTCACTTTTCAGGTGTGTCTCTTATAAACAGCATATTGGTGGATTTTGTTTTTGTAATCCAATCTGCTACCTCTTTTTCTTCTCAGTGGTATATTTAAACCATTCAAATTCAGCGTGATTATTGGGAGGCCAAGTTCTACTGCTATCATTTTGATGAGTTCCTTTTGGTCTTGTTGGTAGTTACTTTGTCCATCCTGCATTCTGTGGCACCTCTTTTAGAAGGATCTCTCTCAGTGTTTCTTGCAATGCTGGTCGTGTTTTTACAAACTCCTTTAGGTTCTGTTTTTCTGGGAATATCTTGATCTCTCCTTCATATTTGAAGGACTATTTTGCTGGGTATAATATTCTTTTTTTTTTTTAAGAGGATACTGTTTCTTTTATTTTGCACATAAAACCACTGAAGGTGCTGCCTGTTGACATCTTGGGGATCACATCATGGTACACATGGCCCGTGACTCAGCAGGAAACACAGTGAGAAAAACAATGATTTGGGTCGCTCACATGACAAATTCAGGTTTCCAGATGGTCAAGCTTG